GTTTTTGCATTTTCATGTACAAACCAATAAACCACCTCATTTTCACCTACACACTGACCCCTACCGGTTTTTGGTGTACTACAGGCTTCTTAGACATTATCGCATTTCATGTACAAATAAACGAATCACTGCATTTGCACCTACACACTGACCCCTACTGGTCATTTGGTGTACTACAGGCTTCTCAGACATTATTGCATTTCATGTACAAATCAACGAATCACTGCATTTGCACCTACACACTGACCCCTACTGGTCATTTGGTGTACTACAGGCTTCTCAGACATTATTGCATTTCATGTACAAATCAACGAACCACTGCATTTTCGCCTACACACTGACCCCTACCAGTCATTCGGTGTACTACGGGCTTCTCAGACATTATTGCATTTCATGTATAAACCAACAAACCACTGCAATTTTCACCTACACACTGACCCCTATCAGTCATTCGGTGTACTACAGGCTTCTTAGACGTTTTTGCTTTTCGTGTACAAAACCATAAACCACTGCATTTTCACCTACACACTGACCCTTACCAGTCATTCAGTGTATTACAGGCTTCTCAGACATTATTGCATTTCATGTACAAACCAACTAACCATGGCATTTTCGCCTACATGCTGACCCCTACCGGTCAATCAGTATACTACAGGCTTCTCAGATTTTATTCCACTTCATAAGCAAACAAACGAACTACAGCATTTTCGCTTTTATACTGACTCCTATCTGTCAAATGGTAGCATTAACACCTTAAGGACACATGACGTGTGACGTGTAATGATCCCCTTTTATTCCAGAAGTTTGGTCCTTAAGGGGTTAAAGGGTATTTTAACATACAATCAGCATTTCTGACCCCTACTGGTCAACAGCAAAACTGTCTTCACATGTCATATACAATTTACCAGCCAATATAAATTACACATAAGATTGTTTTAAACATAACTATAGACCATAAATTAAACTTCAGGTTTAATTCACAATAATTTACATTTCACATCAAGACCAACAGTGGTTCTATCAACACTGCCACCTACAGGTCTGTCAAGTACATTGACAAGTTTCATGGGGTTTTACAAACACCAAAACACTGACACCTATAGGTCAACAGACAAACAACATTTCACATACCAATCAGTATCCAACTACACTGCCACCTATAGGGCACTCGGCAGATCTCCAGTGCACTTGCATTTTGCAACACCATGTTCACTGACCCCTACCATTCAATAAGACCTACAACAATTCACATAGCAAGCACTATGTCAACATCTGGTATAAATACATATATTATTACACAGTAGCAGACGCATCTGTATATATGTAACTGGTAATATAGTTCACATAAATTTTTCACAGCACGCTGCTCCCGCAACAGACTTACAACATACAACATACAACATACAACATACAAGGTGGGGACAGACCACATTTTCACTTGTACATACGGCACTTAATGGGTTAAGATTGATACATATTTAACCAGTATGGCTTAATATTTCCACATCACGGCACTTTACTTTTCACATATACTGTACGTATTAAGATAAGCTTGGTCTATGCCATATTTCCTTATGCCATACGGTTTTATCCATTCAGGTTACAGTTACTACTAAAAAACCTATACGGATTGTCAGGTTCAATACTATACTACCAGGTACATACACCTGCTCACGTAGTTATCCATCTCTTACCTTCCCTGGAATAGTAATAGTGTACTGGCAATTAGGGTTCTAGGGCCCAATAGGTATTACCCCTTTTTTCTCTGCATTATGCTTCGGTTAGTGGTCCCGCGAGGCCAACACCCCGCCTCACACTCGGAGGCATACACCCCTCAGGCCACTCGTGAGCTAGCCGCCTCGCATTGTATCATAGAGAGGGCCTCACCTGTCACTCCCCTTCCTATTTTCTGGTTACTGTCACCGAGAGGCCAACATCCTGCCACAACGCTCGGTGGCCACACAAAATCCCCTCGCGCCAAGCATAGATAGAGCCTCTCAAGCCACTTGGCAACTAGCAGGGCCTCACCAGTCACCAAAAAAAACACCAAGCCTAATCGTTTCACCTTACGGCTTAGCTAGCAAGCCAGTACAAGAACCCTGGGTACAAATAATAATTGCAATCTTATTGTTATTTAAGTATTTCTCAAAAAGATGGTGAAGAATCACCTCTTCCTAGCACCCCGGCTAGAATTGATACACCTTCAAGCAGAGGAGATGTTGCTAGTCCAGCAGCAATCAGATCCTGGACGATCCCACACATTACCACCGACCTAAGGAGGTGACAAATCCCCTACCCTGCTACAGCAAGGAAAGCAGTTATTCAAACTCCTCCATACATCAACGGACAACACGGAGGCAGGGGAAGGCCCAGCTACATCAACTCAGGTGACACCCAGGCTATGCTAGCTTCACTCATAAACTCATGAGCCAAAAAATTTATGACAGACTGGCAATCTCGAGTTGGTCACCACAGCCCTCACAAGGCTGGGCCTCACACTACTGTACAACCAGCACCAACCGAAACTCGGTTACCTGGTACAATCAATTCTTATGACACACAAGATGTTAAACCTGCACGTATGATCCCAGCACATTGGGGAAGCAAGGCATATATATGTATGATGATGTATCTGTGATGGTCAGATCCAGGGATTCCAGGTAAATCGGGAACTGACCATCCCTTGGTTGGGTTGGCATTTGGAATATGTGGAGATGTTTATTTGTGCAGGTACCCATACAGAAGGGATTTTGTCCCAAACAAATGGACGAGCACTCTCAGGCTCCAGGTACCAGCACCTCTGAACTACCAGAGACCACTGATATGAGTAGTTGCATTGCATACAGACTGTTGCATATATGTTCAAATAGTTCAGGGCACATGACAAACCATGTGTCCCAATACAACTTACAAATAACGTATTCACCATCTGTACACACCAATGCATTTTCAACACTACTGACTCATCACCCTTCCAGACTTGTAGTAGATTTACTAAAGCTCTGGAGCTTCAAAGGGCTCCCATACAGGTATCATAAACACACCTTCAAGGAATATAGCATGCCCTCACTTACAGTCAGCACAACAAAACCATTGGCTGTAAACACACTCATAGCCAAGATTTGCAGAGGGGTCTTCCAATCTCCACCATTTACAGCATGGCACCAAACACACACATTGGTATTGTCACAAGGAATCTTCCCTTAAACAAAGACTAACCATGGACTTATTGGTAACACACACCTCCGCTACCCCAAGTCTCAACTCCCTCATACCCTCCGAGGATTTTTCTTACTATACAACACCATTGATCTACCTTTACAGCTATCACTCAAGAATGGGTTGAAGCTTGATTAAGTAAGACCAATATCATCAACGCAGTAAACGGCTACCATCTACCCTACACACTGGCACTTACATGGCATAAATTGGGCAATCCTTTCCCCGCTCAACTTTCGAGCTACAGATTAGCCTACTATCGATATTCGCAGATACTCTGTGCTGGTTATGATAACATATCCAGAGGCCTTACAGTCATACACTATCTAGAAGACTTCTTGTTAATCAAAGAAAGCATATTTTTCACTAGAAGCCTCACGGCAGCTTAGTCTGGTTGACCACTTGGGCGTCCCAGTACCCCATAAGAAACAGAAGGCCCAGACACTATCTTCACATTACTGGGCATATGACTTGAGTCGGCATCCATACACGCAAGTTACCACAAGACAAATAGGGAACATTCTCAACTACATCAATCACTACCTCCTGCTTAGTACTTACAACTGCAAGGAACTACGATCCCTACCAGGTTCCTTAATTTTGCCATGCTTTCACATCCAGAGTACTTTCCCCTTTTTTCCACACTTCCAACATGACGATCAGAGGAGGTGCCTAGACACCTCAGCAACAGCAGACCTGCACATGGGTGGGGGATTTCTTAACCACTTGGCATGGTAAAAGCATGTTCCTTCCAGGATTGTCTGACACTTCTCCAATCAGATGGTCAGACGCAGCGTATACCACGGGTTTGGCAGCGATCTACCGGGAACAATTGCTTTGGGGCTGTTGGCCATGGCATCCAGGTTTGGAAATTTTTCCACCACTTCAGCCCCTTTGGGAGATCTACCCCATTGTAGCAGCTGCTGTGGCATGGGGTAAATCATGGTCAGGGTCATCAATCCGTTGTTACTCAGACAACTAAGCACATATCATATCATCAACAAACGCCACTACTCATCCATAAGTTCATGATGTTTCTGGGGAACTCACTTGGTTGGCCACTTATCACATTTCACTTTCATGTACCAGACGGGGGTATACATCCCTGCCGACAACTGTCTCATTTATATTCCAGGCATGTTCATCATACGCTTCCTACAGCCGCCCATACAGTCACGTCCACTCTTTCGTTCCAGAGACAAAATCATGGATTAGACATACTCATGCAGCATAGCATGCACTATCCCACCTAGCACTTTCGTCCCATACTTGTAGAACGCATAACACAGCTTTTCACCTGGCTTAAAGAATCTCATTGGAACACGACATAGCTCAACCTGTGTCACAAAATTTCTCCTAAGTTTTGCTTATTTTTGCCACCTTAAACTTAAACTATCCCATACACCATTAATTATATATTTTACAGGCATTCAACAACACATGATAACCTATGGCCAAAACTACCATAAACTTCATGCTATCATACCAGAAAAGAATATATTCAGAGGTTTTCAGGAATCCATTCCCCCACGTTCCTCTCAGAGATTACCAATAGCCATCCAACTGTTCATCCTTATCGGACCTATTAGATCTACAACCATTCAATTATACTACCAAGTCGGCCATTACCAGCCATGCACATTGCCTTTTATGCCTTTCTCAGGCCAGAGAATCCACTACCATCACCACCACTCAGACAGATCATTGTCTTCAACGATCCCACGTACGTAAACACATATATCATTACCTATTGGCTCTAAAACATTCCGAAATGAGTCAACATGGTGCCCACTTTCGGTCCTAGATTCCTACCTTCAAAATCCTTTCAGGAATTAAATACTGTAATGCATTTAAGGAAATGTCTGGTTAATTTGTATATATTTGTTGACTGGATTAAATCTTTGATTATTCATTTTTGCCCTCTTTATTTACAGGCCTACCGTATCGTCGGTATCGGCACACCACAACCGACTTGCTCCCTTTACACTATCCTAAGCTTATGCTGGATCCTTACTCCATATACGGCTATTTTGCCCCTTACACAAATATATATATACACACACACACACACACACACAGGCAGACAGTCTAGAGAATTTAATTGGAAAGCCCTATATTTAACCCTGTAACTTTCCAAAACACCATAAAACCTTTACATGGGGGGTATTGTTATACTTTGCTGAACACAACGATGAAATCATTAGTAGAAGTGCAGTTTTTGTGTAAACAAAATGCAAAAAAACAAATAAAAATGCTAACTTTGGCCAGCGTATGTGACTAAGTGGCTACTACAAAAGACTGGACATACCCCATTTTAAATACCCTGGGTTGTCTACTTTTACAAATTGCATGCAATTATGGGGTTAATGTTCATTCCTGGGCTGCTATACGGTATCAAAGGCAACATATGCCCAGCAAATTAATCTGGCAAGTTTCAATGTGCAAACATGGAAAAGGGGAAAGCCCTACATTTGACCCCTGTAAGTTTGCAAAAACCCATAAAACCTGAACATTGGGGGCACTATTGTACTTAGGAGATATTGCTGTACCCATATTGGGGTGTTCTTTGTCAGTATAACAGGAACTAAGAATCCATGCCTAAAGTACAATGTGAGAGAAAAATAACACAAAAAAATGACTACCCAAATGTTTGACAAAGACTGGTGGTAGAATTAGTGCATGGGAAGTGTTAAAATACCACCATTTGAAATACCTTAGGGTGTCTAAAAATATATGGTTTGATGGGTGTAAATTACATTGGCCGGCTTCCAAAATGTCCCAAATAGGAAAACTGGAATGCGCGCCCTCCACATAACACACCTATACATGGGTGGTATCACTGTACTCAGGAGATGTTGCTGAACACATACTGGGGTGTTTTCTTTGGCGGTAAACCTTAAAGTTCTCAGTACATATATTTTTAAATTGCTATGTGTGTTTTTAAATATGGCATTGATTGGTGGAAAATGGTTGCATGAAAAGAGTCAAAATGACCCAAGTTTAATACCTTAGGTTGTCTTCTTTTAAAAAAAGATATACATGTGAAGGGTTAATCAGGAATTCCAGACAGATATCAGTGTTACAATGTAACATTCGTTAATTAAAAAAAAAAAAAATGGTTTGGAAAAACAAGTGCTACTTGTACTTATTGCCCAATAATTCTCCAAAAAAGCTAAGAACATGTTAACATTGTGTATTGCTAAACTTGGGACAAAATTTTTAAACTATTTAGCATGGGTGCTTTTTGGCGGTTGTAGATGCGTAACAGATTTTGGGGGTCAAAGTTAGAAAAAGTGTGTTTTAAATTTTTTTTATAGTAAATTATATGATATGATGAAAATAATGGTATCTTTAGAAAGACCATTTAATGTCGAGAAACACAGTATGTAATATGTGTGGGTACAGTAATTGAGTAAGAGGAAAATTACAGCTAAAGACAAACACTGCAGAAATGTAAAAACAGCCGTGGTCCTCAACGGTAAGAAAATTTAAAAACGGTCTGGTCACTAAGGGGTTAGACATCTATTAGACAGTATGCCTGAGGAAATCCAGCGTCAGTAAAATTTCCATAAGAAAGCATTCATCCAATGCTTTCCTATGGGGAGGGCCAAAGGCACTCACAGCAGTCGCCGCGCATGCGCATTAGGTCCCCACTGTTGGATCACGTTGGAGATAAATAAAAGATTTTTATCCCTTTATGTACTGGGGGGGACACGAGCGGGGGGGAGACGAGAGGCCACTATAGTGTTAGGAACACAGATTGTGTTTAGAAAATATATCTTAAAGGGATTCTATAGTGCTATTTCTAACGGTAAGACCCCCTTTAAGATGTATTTCTAAATTGTCTGGAAAAAAGAACCTTTGAGAATAAATAACTTAAACATTTTAAAACATTATAGTTTTTCCACAATATATGTTCATTTTTCTACAAGGCAATAAAAAATTAGAGACTATAACAAGTCCACTTTATCTCATGTTGAGGAATGAGTATTTTTAAACAGTATAATTTTATTAGTTTTGCATAATGTCATTCAAAAGAGTCTATTTAATTAGCACTTAATGCACTTCAGAGTGCTGACAGGCATAAAGAACACCGGACTTGTAGATTAAATGTCACTATGATATTATTAAAGGAAATGCATTTAATAATTTACTAAAAACATTTTATTTTAATGGTTATTCAACAAAGTTCAACTTTGGAGTTATTTCAAGCCCTTATATTGTTTCACAGACTTTCTGATTTCACAGTGTTTCTAACGGTGATTTACTATAAAATTTCTAAACAAATGAATTTCTTAGTATTGCTAATTGAAACTTCTTTTTTTAATATAAATCTATCTCTGATTCTCATTGGTTCCTATTGGGAGCAGCGGTGGTTCTGAAAACATGTGTTGCTATGCTCTGATCAGCGATATCGATAATTTTCACCCAACTGGACGAGCTAATCTTTTTCATTCCTGTTGTTGACAGTTTTAGAAGCACTTAAACAATGATGGTTTTCACATGTGTTATATAGGTAATTTGGACATTACACTTCTGTATAAGCAATATTAATTTCATCTGTGTTTGGATAGCATTTATTGACTTGTCAACTGATGTGCTCAGCCAAACGATTCTATCGAAATACAGGTGGAATTGATACTGCCATTTTTTAAGTTACACTTCCATAAGAAAACACACAGATCAAAGGGTCAGACCACAGGTGTCCAGATAACAGTTGTGAAACAGAATGTAGTATGGCTCCAGCATGCCTGCACCATAACCACTACAACACTATGTTGTATTTGTTATTTCTGAATGGAATGTATTGTGCATGGTTCTCAAAGTTCTCAAAGCAGGTAATTCAACATGGAAACAAAAGAAATATTCCTGACAGGACCCAAGCTAGAATGACGTAGGTATAGATGGTTGCTGCCTCTGAACTATGACTTCAATATATATCTTGTTTACCTGGACACATATCAATTCTTCACATGAAAAGTGCTGCCCTGCAGTATGTAGAATTCGTATGCTGTAAGATTCCTTAATGTTTAGTGATTTTTGAACAACGGAATCCCACGCACCGTAGGCCAACACTTTTCCTCTAGTATCTGGTTTTATTTTTATAATTTTATGAGTGAAACCACCACTGCTTCTGATAAAGGCAGAATAACACACATTATTTTCCATAGCTATATTATACTTTATCTGTGACACGCATACACATTTTAATTTTACCTGAGACGTGATGTAATCGTGATGGAATCGTTTCCTGTGCTGTCCTCTCTGGAATCTGGTACAGAAACGTTGTCATGTGAAAAACGTTCTCTTTATGCTTAACTGATGCAACAAACCAAGAATCCATTGTTTCGTCATTAATCTGGATACCCGGCCACAAGATCTGAATATTATCTGTGAAATATAACTGTATCTCGCAAACCAGGTTTTCCGTATCATCCATAAGAGGCTGCACTAATTTTGGGTCTGTAAGGAGACATGTTACTTAATACAACACCAAAAAGCTTGCATCTATAAATGCTCACTGTATTGTACTGCAAAGCAAGGATATAGCCTTCCGATATTTTACAAAAATTCTCAGCTTGTAAAACAGACACACTCTTCTTGTATGTACAGCTGGATATGTGGAGTACTGATTAAAGTAAGAATTACAATTTTACATTTTAAAAGTAGTCATACTAACCATAACCATAATAGCCATAGCTAACTTGGAGAATTTTTGCAGCTTCGCTATGGGGCCTTAAATTTAAAATT